AATAACACCATATTGGGTGAACTCAATGATTCATGGAGACGGTAAGTAGGGGTGAAATGAAATGGGGAATGGGAAACAGATGTGTGGTTCTGGTTTTGGGAGACTTTGACGTGAAACTATGTATGTATACATTGATATGGTTTGTTTGGGATTCTAATTAGCCAAACCAAAATGCAAGGCCGTGTTTGGAACTTTAAAAAATAAAAATTAAAAGCTACTTTGGGGATGCATGTGAAGGAAGTTGATCCAAATTTTGGTGGCTCAATTTCCGATAAATGTTTAATGAACTTTCAATTAAAATTGTTTTTTTTTCAGATCTATAATATTTAAAGTTTATAAATATTTTGAATAATTTAAATATAAAATCAATATATTATTAAATGTAAATCATTGAAAACAGACCTTACTTAAAATAAATTATTATTTTAATACCTATTAAACAATTTATATTTCTTTTTGTTAAATGAATTGTTATGAATATTTATTATTATGATTCTTTTCCCCCTAACATAAATGTGTAGTGTTAGCTAATAAAATTATATATCACTTATTTAATTAAGCTTTCCATTATTTTTTTAATGATATTATACATAGTGAATATATATTAAAATAACAATAAAAAATTAATCATAACAAAATATACTCAATTATAATAATCATGAGATTAATATTGTTTGTAATTATATTGCGTGCATATGCGCGTGTATGGTGTAATTGAATGATTTTAAATATAAAATTAAAAGTTTATAAAATAAGTAATTAATATATTAACAATGTATTTATTTAATAAATAGGACATGAGTTTTATCCTTTAATAAACTCACTAGTTTGAATTTTGTTTGTAGAGTAAATATATATATAACTTCAAAATACTGTAAAATTAAATATAATAATAATTGGAATAAAAATACATTTTAAATGATTTTCTGTATAAACTTTGAGTTTTATATGATTTTTTTAAAATTGTAATATAAACAAAGACACTAGTTATTGTCTCTCTTTATTCATAATTTTTTTTTGCTATATATGCTTCGCTCATTTAATATATTTTTAAGCATTATATATAATTTTTTCTTATCAGTATACAAAAAATATAAATATTCAAATTTTGAATATATTTTAAAACTTGTTGAGAAAATACTTTATCAATAAAAATTTGAATTGGTCCCTGATAAATACTATGTGTTTAGTATTTATTTATTGTTCATATTGATTAACATTTTTAACTTTCAACCAAATATTGAACTTATATTTTATTTTTATCCTCTAATAAATGTGTTTTAGAAAAATTATAAATTAATAAATATAATAAGAGTATTGTCATAAAATTGATTCCAAATAATTATCAATAATTTTAAATAATTAGCAGTTTTTAATATATATTAAAACGGGCCAGCCTGCACGCAGTCATAATATGGCGGGCAGAGTTGGTGTTTTCACCCATCGACCGCTTTGGTCCGCCTCGCCAACCCGACGGTCAACCCGCGGACGTGACGGGCCGACTCGCAACCCACCTAATTAATAAAAAAGTAATTTTTTATTGTAATAAAATTAATTATAAAAATAATATATAAAGTTAAAAATTTTAAAAGAGAATTAAAAAAGTTTCACTCTCACAACAAATATTCTCACTACTTGAAACATAACTTTCTCTCTCCTGTTCTCCTTGTTCATCCTAAGCACTTGCTTATTTTTATCTTTATGACTTGAATTAAAGGTGTAAGAATTATCCAACCAAAAATAATATGAAGTTTTATCAAATAAAAAAGATATAGGTATTTGAAATTTTCAATATAAAAAATATAAATTTTATAAGTTTTAACGTTATATATATATATATATATATATATATATATTTGTTATTATTTATTATTATGTAAATTTTATTATTGTTATAAATTATAATTTCTTAAAACAATGTATTGATTTATATTATTAAATTGAAATAATATATATATATATATATATATATATTGAATTATTGACAAACAAATAATACTCTTATTATTAAATTTAAAAAAATTATTTAAAAAAAATATTTTTTTCTAAATTATGGCAGCCTAGCCCGCCCTTTGGCGGGACGGACCAAGGTCTACAGCCGTCATGACTATAACGGGTCAGCTCGTCCCGCCTCGCTTTGACGGCCAAAGGCGGGCGAAAAACGGATCAGCTGACTCGTTTTACCATCCCTAATTAAAACAATTTAAATTGGAGGTAGTAATAAAGAAAATTAATAATATTAATTGATTTAATAATTAATTAAATTTTTTTATTGATTCGACGGAATAAATTAGAGTACACAAGTTACAAAATATAAAAAAAGTAAATGCATGTAAAAAAATATTCTAATTTTAATCACAGAGATTGAAAAGTATAACATAATAATTAATGGGAAATCCAGGATAATTTGTATTCTAAATTGTTTTAGAGTAATTATAGCATTCATAAATTTATAATTGTCTAATTATTTTTCTTTTTTAAAAGAAAAAAACAAAAGAAATTACCTTTTTTGCTTGTCTGATAACTAAGCCCAATTCAGCAGACAAGCCTGGGCCGGAACCCAACAACTACTGCAGTTGCACTGAGGAATAGAATCTACTGTCTCAAGCCCCCACGTGTGAACCTCACGTGTCTGCCCTTCTCGTTATTTGTTTATTGTTTGTAGTGCAAAGTAGAAAGATTCTCTACAAAATCAAATCGCCTAAAATATCAACCCACTAATTAGTGCCATATTCATGTTCACCTATTTAATTAACAATAAATAATTAATATTTGGACCAAAGAAAAATTACAACCCAAGCAACTAAAACACAATTATCTTAATTTAATAACACGTGAATTAATTCTAATCTTGCTTGCATTACTTTCATTCTATGAACTCTAAATTTTTGGCCAAAGTAGAACCTAATTTGATTTTGATGTGTGATAAAGGAAGCAATAAAAGCATAAATATAGTGACAAAAAATTTAGGAATACGTATGTTGTGTTTATGTGCGGTGTTGTCCCCCGAAAAAAGTATTGTCTTTTATGTGTTTTACTTCTACAACTAAATTAATAAACACACATCATAACATGCCATTTTGAAACAAAACACAAGACCAAACATTAATTAGTGTTTGACCCGTAACATTTTGTTCTCGTTTGTGACTGGTTTTCCTTCATTTTTGCGTTTAATTAACTATAACCATAGGCAATACGTTTCTTGGAAAACGAATTGAATTTATTAAGGACCTAACTAGTGGAATCAAAACATTCTTTGCTTTGATGGGTTCATTATGAATATAATTAGTGTGTTGAAGTCAATTGCCCTTACTTTATTTATGATTTCAAATATATAATTATATATTTTTTTCTTATTATTACAAGTAACTGTAGCTGCATCTAATTAAACCCAGAAAGTAACTCATTAGAAGTTTTTGCATTTTGAAATGGAAGTTACCAAAGAGGGAAAGAATGAATGCAAGAAGAAATTACATCGTTTCAACACCAGTGAACTTAAAATTTATGCTTGTTCGAGATTTGTGGTACCAAAAAAAACTTCTAATATTAGTTCACAAGAGTGTGTTTAATTGGAAGAAAAGCAAAGTTTTTTTTTTATTTTTTACTTTTAGATTGTTTAAGAAATTTGAAGAGGATTGAAATATTTGTCTGTCTTACCTTTGTTTCTTTTTTAATATTAGAGAGTTTTGTATGAAAGAAAAAAATTTATACTTTTAGATAATATAAATGAATGCAGTCTTATTTTATTAATGATAATATAGTACATGTATTTTTCTCCTTTTTTTTTTTTGCAACCCATTCCTTAAACAAAAATACAAGTTTTCAATTTTATTTTAATTAATATTATCTGTTTGTCTTTTTATATATGTTTGGTTGGAGGGTTAAAAAAAATGAAAAGAAATAAAATTGTTTTGTAAAATAAAAATGAGTTAATCTTTCTAGTATTTTTTATTTGTATCTATTTCGATTTTTCTTCTGTGCACTAATAAGATGTTTAAAGCATAGACATAGTAGAGTATGTGTATTTGAATTAGACTTGGTTCTTCTTAAACTGATTCTAATGTTGTTTAAGCAACTAATAGTTGTTTATTTTTGCAAAATTTCAATACGATTATGATAATTATCCAAACTCATAGTAATTACTTTTGTGATTCTAAACATGTGTTAAGGAGTATGTTGGATGAGAGTAAAAAGAGGAAAAAAGAGTGAGAAATGAAAGGGTTGTGGGGGTAATTTTTGCCAAAAAAGACCAAAATGGTTGCAGTGTGCCTCATAAGGGGAATCAAAACTGAAATGGCTGAACTGAACAGTGAGCAGTGTGTGTAGTGCAGCTTAGCAAAAATTACAGGCACAGAACATTTCCGTTAAGGGGAATTGTTCCTTTAAGTACCACACTCGCACACTCCCGCTTTTTACTATTTTATACTATTCACATTTTCATTTTCAGTACCCTACAACATTTCCTTCACGACTAAATCATGCAGTAAGAAAGAAGAGAGAGAGAGAGAGAGGAAGGTAAATAAATAAGATAAACAAGGTAAATATAGATTGAGATTTTGTAGTTTTAGTGGCTCCAAACTGAAGGGGTAAAATATGTTGGAGGAGGGTGCGTATAAAATAATAATGTTTATATGTCAACCTTTCATTTGATAGGTAGCAATGGGGAACGGAAGGGGGAGCAAAGTGATTTATTGGGTTTAGAAGAAGGAGAGAATGAGAAGTGAGAGTGATATAATTTAAACAGAAAAAGCACGCTCGAATTCAAATCAAATCAAACCCTCTATTTATACTTCCACATCCTTCTCACATCCTCTTCACTCACACGCACTAATTGCTTTCTTTCTCCATCGATCCCACCCTCCATCACAAAAACAGAGGCCCCTCTGCACACAACACCGTAAGCCTCTTCCATCTTCGTCGTCGTCGTCGTCGTCATCATCAGATATTCATAAACATCACACCCTTTTGCTCTGATCAATCTTCCCACCGTCATTTCCAACATGTGCAAATCCAACACACAGTACAATGATACGGAAAAGCAGCCAGAAGGGTTTGACACACGTTCCACAATGTGGGACTTCATGCGAGAAGCCAAATCCCTGTGGGAGGTGGCATTTCCGACAGCGCTCACTGCTCTCATTTTCTACGCGCGTTCCATGGTGTCTATGTTGTTCCTCGGACACCTAGGAGACACCGAACTGGCGGCGGGTTCGCTGGCCATAGCGTTCGCCAACATCACGGGTTATTCGGTTCTCTCGGGACTCTCCCTAGGGATGGAACCCCTATGTTCCCAAGCCTTCGGAGCAAAACGTCCCAAGCTTCTCTCTCTCACGCTCCAACGCTGCGTCTTGTTTTTAATCTCGTGCTCAATCCCCATTTCCCTCTTGTGGCTCAACATGTCCAAAATCTTCCTCCTACTTCGCCAAGACATGAACATCACCAAAATGGCGCAAAACTACCTCGTATTCCTCCTCCCCGACCTCGTCACCAACTCCTTCCTCCACCCAATCAGAGTCTACCTTCGCGCGCAGAACGTCACCCACCCGGTCACGTTAGCGTCCCTCGCCGGCACGCTCCTCCACGTCGGGTTCAACTTCGTTCTCGTGAAACGCGGCGTGGCCGGAGTCGCCGCCGCCTCCGCCGCCTCCAGCTTATCGATTCTGGCACTGTTGCTGCTCTATGTGTGGATAAGTGGGGTCCACCGCGCCACGTGGACTGCGCCGAGCCGGGAGTGCTTCACCGGCTGGGAGCCGCTGCTTCGGCTGGCTGCGCCGAGTTGCGTGTCTGTTTGTTTGGAGTGGTGGTGGTATGAGATCATGATTTTGTTGTGTGGACTCCTTGTGGACCCCACTGCCAGCGTGGCGGCTATGGGGATTTTAATCCAAACGACGTCGTTGATTTACGTTTTTCCTTCGTCACTGGGGCTCGCTGTGTCCACGCGCGTGGGGAACGAGCTTGGCGCGAACCGGGCTCCACGCGCCAGGATATCGGCGATCGTCGCGGTGTTTTTCGCCGCCGTGATGGGGTTCTCGGCGGTTTTTTTCGCCTCCGCGATGCGGCGGCAGTGGGGAAGGATGTTCACTTTGGACGAGGGGATTCTGCGGCTGACGGCGGCTGCGCTGCCGATTTTGGGGCTCTGCGAGCTCGGAAACTGCCCGCAGACGGTTGGGTGCGGTGTGGTGCGGGGGACGGCGCGGCCGAACGTGGCGGCGAACGTGAACCTCGGGGCGTTTTATCTGGTGGGGATGCCCGTGGCCGTCGGGCTTGCGTTCTGGCTGGAGGTTGGGTTCTGTGGGCTGTGGCTGGGCCTGTTGTCGGCCCAGGTTTGTTGCGCGGGCCTAATGTTGTATACGATTGGGACCACCGATTGGGAGTACCAAGCCTGTCGGGCCCAGTTGCTGACGGCCCTTGATGAGTCCACGAAGGGATCCGACGGGCAGAAAGAACCGTTGATTTCCGTGGTGGACAGTTGATGAAGATGATGATCGTTGATTGTTGATTGATGGTGTAATATTCTTTTCCTCTTGTAATTCTTATATTATTAGATCAAATTTGTGAAATACAATTATTATTTTTTTCACAACTCATTTTTTAACCCAGTGGGAGTATTTAATTATGGATAAATCAGATGATGATTTTTCTGTCATTTTCAATATCTATTTATATTTTCTTTCTTATCCCTAAATGCAAACAAATGGATAAATGGATCAATGCCAAGCCTCTGTAACTTTTTATTCATCTTTTGCCTCTATCTTTATGTATACCACGTTTATATTAAATATGTAAATCATTTCTAAAATTTGTTTGGTTATTGTTTCTATTGAAACTTAACTAATATCAATAATTATATTTTCACATCAAATAAATGTAAGGTATACGAGGAAAACAATATAATTGATTATGTAATCTTACAATATTAATAATTTATAATTTGTAATGTTTAATTAAATAATTTATTATGTTAAACGTCATAAGTTATAAAAATATTATTATTTTTAGTAAATGTATTTATTTTCTTTTTTATTATTGTAATTTAAAATAATAATATTTTTCAAAAAATTGAGTATGATGAATAATTGGTAATTAAGTGATTTTTAAAAAAATTGCATGGAAGATGTAGAATTGAGTTGAGAGGGAGAGGGTGGTCCGTAGAAGCGAATAGAATAATGACACGTGGCATATGAGGAAGAGACGGTGATGGTAGTGTAGTACTGGGAGTGTGTGTGACAGAGTCTGTTGCTTCTGCAGTTGCAGTTGCAGTTGCAGGGGAGGAGCCACCTCTCTCTCTCTCTCTTTCTTCTCTTCTCTTCTCTTCTCTTCGTCTCTCTCTTTCTTATCTTTTGGCAGAGAGAAGGACGCATGGCGACAGTTGCGCTATCACCTCCACTCAGCAAGTACTCTACGGAAGATCATTCATGAATCATGAATCTTGAATGAATCAGTGTTATATGCATAATAATTGAAGCAAGTAAATTTATACATTTTGCACTGGATCCTATAAAAGGAAGCCAAGAATTTGCATCAGAGTCCAACAAATTTGGGAACGAAATTTTAGTTCAAATCGATTTTCGCCACACAATACGCAAAGTCTCTGTTTTATTTCGTAGTAGAGATGAAAGAGTGTTTAGGGTTTGAAGAAGAAAAATATAAGGATGAATTTTTGGCATTGGGACAAGGGATTTTTTCGTTCGATTGAGAAAAATAAAATAAAAAGTTAATTTATATGATTTTAAAATATAGTTTTAACTCTGAAATTTTAATTGTATCTTTCCGTTTTGTATCATACATGTGATAAATCGAAGATTAGATAATCAAATTTTTTTCTTCTAATTCAAAAGATATTTTTTTTATATGTGACTCATGAAGATACCAATTAAAATTAAAATTATAATCATATGATTTACATTTCTTAATTTAAATAATTTTAATTATCTCGAGATATTTTTTATGTAAATAGTTATATGAACAAAATAAAAATGTAGATTGAGATGAAGTTATATTTAGATGAAAATGTAGTAAAAAAAGGAATGAATTAGTTAATTAATTTGGAAAATTTGTGGAAGGAGAGTTCGGTCATTGCGTTTGTGTTGAATGCATGAGGCATGAGTTTGTAACGCAGGCTAAAATCCCCCTAAAATTCTGCACCACATGTGAAAAGCAAGGTGAGTACTAACCCGTACTTACCCTATCCTTTGTTTCTTTAATTTTCTGATTAATTATTATTAAAAAATATATTTATTAAAAAAATTCAGCATCTATTTGAATTCTAAAGAATTAAGTATTGCTATCAAACCTCATTAATACAACCTATGAAATGATCTAGATTCCTATTTCATTGAATTTGTATGTAGTTGTACCTCATTTTCACACATCATGTAAGTTGTCAATAATTTTTCATTATAAAAAAAAATAAAAGTAAAAACCTTGATAGTTTATAGTTAGAGCCATGAACATTGTTCTAAATGAGAACTTTTATTGTATATGTAGAAATCTTAGTTAATGTAAACTTAATTTATTTAAAAGACTCTATCACCTTCATGAAAGAATATTTATTAACAGATGTTATCCTATTAAATGAATTATATTAGTAGCTTATGAAAAAAATATAATAATAACAATAATAATAATAATAATAATAATTATTATTATTTAAGTTTAGTTAGATAGTAACTAGCTAACTCACTAAAATTGAAGGGTCTTAAATATCTAACAATGCATGTGACTACACATGGGAGGTTTAATTTAGAGGCCACACAATTAATTGTAGAACTATAATGTTATTAATTACAACTTTATTTTAAATTCATAAAAAAAATATTGTTTATATGACTGAATTTTTGCTTTTTTATTTTTATAGTGTTTAAACAATTAAACTTCATGATCGATTTTTTGGGTTGGTCTGAAGTACTTAATCTTAGTCATATTACAAAAATTTAATTTAAAAACTTGTTATTTATTTAAAAATCTGAACAAGAAGCAACAATGGAACGTTGATAATGCTGAGCAAAGGCCTAACCTATATTCAAAACTCGAGACAACCACAAGGAATAATTAAGATAAGGGTTAAAGAGATAAATTTTCAAGTGATGTAATTGATAATGAGGTAAATTTTGAGCAGGAACAATTTTATTTTCCTCTACTCAAGGATCCTAAAATTTTTAGATATATATTATAAAATGAGAAAATTATATAATTTAAAAAAATATATATAAACACTTAGTTACGATAATGTTAAACCATTTGGGAGTTAAGTAGCTGCTTCACTTATAGGTCCATAATTATTGATTAATATTATAATACTAATAATTTGCTTTGATGACATGTTAATAATACAATAAGATCATGTTAATGTTGTATTATATTTTTTTTGTTAAATAATTTAATAATGTTGGTAAATTTTTTTATTTAATTTATTTGAAAAACGGAATAAATTAATATTAATATAATAGAAAAATAAAAAAAATGATTTAAGCTAAATTATTTAAGGTCAAAGCTTTATTTTTGTATGGTCCTAGGTCGATAGGGACATAAGGAGTTGAATTATTTACATGGTAAAAATCAAAGAACATCAAAACAATTAAAGCTTTGAGGGTGATGGTAGCTAGCTATATATGCACGTCTACCACTGCTCTATATAACTAAGATCTTTCCATGGCGTCCAAAATAAATTTAAGAGAGAAATTAAGAAAATCAAAACTTGCTAACGAATGAACTGATTTTTTTAGAAAGAACATCATTTGCTTCTTCTCACATAACTAAACTTTTGAGGAATCAACCAACCCACTTTCTTTCTACTCTTATCTAAACCTTCATAATATCTATCCTTAATTTATTCCATTTCTTATCTAATTAACCGTAAAATTTACGTTAAACTGATACATGATCTAACATAAATTTTGTGGGTTGATAAAAATGTTTCAACTAATGAAGTAGTAATAAAAATTTATTGGAATAATTAGGTTCTTCATTTGAAAGTATATTTTGCAGAAATTAATAAATGATATTATTCAATAAAATTCAGAATAAGATAGATTCAAGTTTTACTAATATGACTGAGATATAAAAATAATGATAATTATTATGTTATTATCGTCGTTATTATTTAAAATAAAATCTTCAAACACAAATAAAACAAAATCCTTAAAAAAAATATAAAACAAAATTTATGTTGATCTATATGAAATGGGATATAGAAATAAGATAAAAGTGGGGTATATTGTTTGAAAGAAACCCTAGGGTGAGTGAGAGAAAGAAGGGGTCTCTAAGGGAGGGACCACGGAGCCTTATGTTGCGATGTGATTCAATCTAATACATATATATGTTGTAGCTGCAGAGGGAGGGTAGTACGTGCATGTTCAATTCTAAACGCTGCATGCATTTCTTTATCTCTCTACATATCTTATCCATATCTTTCATTTTTATTTTTTTACTATTTCCAAAAAAATTAAATAAATGGAACTAAGTAGAAATATTTTTTAATTTACTAAATGTATATTAAAATAGTAATAATGTATAAAATCAATATATATATATATATATATATATAATTAATTGCTAACAAAAAATTCACATATTATTGAAATATCAAATGATATTAAAACACGAATCATTTATTATCTAAATTATTCTAAAAAGAAGATATGATTATTTAAATTTTTACATATTATTATTTTTTATTAAGAGATTTTTATAATATTTTTTTATACTAATTTATATATTGAAATGTCTTGGTTGATAAATCTCGTTTTTCTTTTTTAGTATTTGTCTAATAGATTATAAAATTGTATAGTTATCCGACATTACACTAGTGCAAAATAGGGCTTTTACGTCACCCAATTATCGTCGCATGCATGTATATTCGACGTAAATAAAACGCGGTGGCAATTTTGTAAATATGGGACAAAAATTTTACGTCGCACATCCCAGGTGCGACGTAAAAGATGGCTTTTTACGTCGCGTGCTGGGATGCGCGACGTAAAAAGTCCCTTTTATTTCCCTCCAGACCCACTTCCTCGTCTCGCGCAACCAGGGTTTTTGAGAACGACGACGAGAACGACGACAACATCTACCTCTGCAAACCATTTTCGAGCAGTTTTACAGTGAAAAGCATATACATTATCGTGTCATTTGTCGAACTTGATCTTTGTGCCCGATTGGAATTGAGTTTGAAATCAGTTTTCGTCTACACTCGAGGTTAGTGTTCTATGTCCCGTGATTGTTTTGGGGGATCTCAATCACGTTATAGTATGAATGTCTCCACTGCATTGTTATTGGAATGTAATTATTTGTTTATTTGTTTGAGTGCATTTGGTTTACACACTCCATTGTTGTTGGAACGTGATTTGTTGTTTGTATATTAATTTTTTTTACATATAATTTTTAAATCTTTAGGAGTGACGAAACTTTATAACATAATATGAATCGAAGTTGGATGAATGCACGTCGTATTAGTGAAGAATACGAAAAGGGAGTT